CGCACTCAGTTATTTAGTCAGATATTCACTTATCCGCGCAATTAATATGTCAATAACACAGTCATTTTTTGTATAAATGCTAATTGAAGCAGTATTATAACCGTTTTTCCTTTCTATTCTCTAGGTACACGATTTGAGGACAGCAATTAAGAGATTAACTTTATCTAGATAGGCCCACCTTGTTCGAGGATACCTTCGGGGTCAATGATTGTGTGGCTTGCCAGCTAGCCAGCTCTTTGAATAGATCGGTTACTGAAACGTGACCATCAGCATCGGCGTCCAGTTCGTCGAACAGAAGGGCAGCCATTTCCACCGGAAGGTTTATCTTCTCATCAGAGCATAGAGCCAGCCACTTTGTTCGATCCAGTTCGCCTGTTTCATCGGTGTCGTAGAGCTTGATGAATGTCGTCAGAGTGTCCAGTGGGTCCATCCTCACTTAGGAATGATAAGCCTTTAGGGAACGCAAAATAAAATGTATACTCAATTGTGATGCTACCTTTGTACCTGCTTCTGGGTGGTGGCAAGAAGATAAGGAGACAAAATTGTCTTTCTAATGGTAACAACGGCAGAAAATCATCCTAGGCTGCCTAGTCCAATGCCTAATATACACGTTTACCGTATATTTCAACTCGCGCACTCCAGCAAAAATAATATGGAAATCGGATGAAAATTCACTAGTATAACTCATGCTGGGTGTTAGCTAAACTCTGCCTCGTGTTCAACACTAATTGATTGTCTTGCACATTTGCTCAGCAGAAAATCGAACCGGACTGACTTATAGACCAATGCGAAAGCAGGCTAAGAGAAAAGTGACAATTTGTATGATAAGTCCATAAGATCTTGGGCTCTTGCATTGATAGGATAATGCAGAGAGAGGCAGAAAGGTATGTCTCCATCAAGAGTGGAGGTGTGCAGATAGACGTGACTTCAGTAAACGATGAAGAGATAAAGAAAAAGTGATGAAATAAAGTGAAGATAAAATGTTTACTAAATATGAAGTTAAGCAAATGAGTGACTACAGAAACAAGTATCTCATTTAATAAAAAGCATGTCTGTATTGGATAGTTTTTTACCACTCAGAAGTCTCTTTAAATACTGCTTGTTTAAGTCTTAATAGCTTCAAGGCTTTAAAAAAGGTTTATTATTATCAACATTAAGCCTAAATTTCAATACTTGCCGAAATCGTTGATTAACAAAGGTAAAAATTGATAGTTATTTCTTATATCAGTGCGTGAATAATCCGCGACTACGAAAAGGTTTCATCCTTCATTAGCTTATCATTTTAGTTGTTTTTAAAGTGGATTTCGTTCTCATAAGGCCTACCTTTTCATAGAAGTTGTTTGACCTTGTTTTCGCAATTTGGTCATATTGGCAGGAAGGCCTAGAGAAACGCACATAGTCCGGATTCCATTATATGCGTGGTAATTTCCAGAGTCGGACCGTGAACGTGGTAGATTTCCAGACGTTTCACCGACATCCTCAGTGAGGCTTGCAATTCTTAGCACCACAAAGTGAGGCCGATCCTTTGACCAAACGTGTGCTAAACAGTTGTGATATCTCGCCTTCTACCCTGGGCTATTTACATTTTCTATATCCCCGTATCGCGCCTTTATTGTTATAATTGTTACCATGCTTAATTTGATATAGTGTGGTGTGATCATTTGAGCGGCATTCATGAAAACCCTTGACACTCCACGCTGGCGTTCTCACCCCCTTCACCCTTGTGTTGAGAATGTCGATCAGAGTCTGACATATTGTTACGCAGTTCTCCTGCCCTAGGTCTTAACAGAGTCTCCCTCTTGCCTCGTGGGATCCGTCTGCTATATCCCTGGTTCACGTATTTGACACGACTCTGTCACCCCATCTGTGCCCCACAAGGCATTATTTCCCACCCTATGCGTCTGGGAGACTATCTTGAAGCTAAAGCACCAGATTAATTGTCAAGGTCAAGCCTTTGCTTCATGGACCACGTCTATGGTAAAATAGGCCTTTTGTCAGCCAACTAGCTCCAGTCTCTGCCGCGTCTATCCTGTTTCTATCCCTAATACCAAATTTATTACGTCCTGGTCTTTTGTGCACCAACCCAAAAAGGTTGTGGTTCAATATTGAAGCAAATCAAAGCAAGCAGTACCACAATATTTGTGGATTGACACGCAAGAGATTAGGGCAAACGACGTAATAGACTCGGTATTAAGGGATAGAAACAGGATGGACGCGGCTGACAATAGGCCTGTTAAACAATGGACGTGGTCCATAAAACAAAGGCTCGACTATGATAATTACTCACGGGCCTTAGCCTCAAGTTAGTCTCCCAGACGCAGAGTGTGGGAAATAACGCATTTTGAGGCACAGATGGGGTGATATGGTCGAGTATAATACTTGAACAATCTCAACTTTGACAATCTCAACGCATGTGTATGTGTCTGTTTGGGCCTGCTTCCATGTGTTCGTACATGTACGAAACCAGCAGTGATGACTAACAATCAATTAGAACAAGAAATAACGTCTCTCAGCGATCAAGGTAAAATGACCACCAAACACATTTTTTTCAAATATTAACCATCAATCAGATTGCGTATTTTCGGACACACATCTGGTTAAGTCGTGGAGCTTTTTGTCTTCATATGAGAAGAATATTTTACTAAGATGTTTAGGAAATAATCCGTAACTAGAGCCACGATAAGAAAGACTAATGTAACAGCAGAGAAAGAGAAATGTTCCTTTATTTTGACCGGACAATTATTCCAAAGAAATCTTACGACTTTAATACGATTTCAAGATATTTGCACCAAAATAGTCTATTCATTTTGAAGGCAGATAAATATGGTGCATTATTCATTATACACAGGTTATGTTATATATAAAAAGTTCCATTCAAATGACTCACACACTTACAAACCTTTATCCAAGGCTCACACTGAAGGTCTTAAGGCTAGACTTGAAGAATCGCTCAACATTTATGTAAGGAAGAAATTTAGATGGAAGCAATGAATTGACTTGTTAAAAGAGAAGCAAAGGTACCTTTAGCTTGCGGCCTTCTGAAGATACTCAAGGAGGGAGTACCTTTAAGATAGAATTTGTGGGGCATAGGATAGCTCGATCCTTATGCAGTTACTTAAGCAAAGTGACGCTCGATTCTAATATTATTTAATCTGTCCATGAGTTGCGTATATTTCACCTTCAACAAACAGTTTTTATGAAAATTTTATGTTTTTAAGTTTATGTTTTGCGTTTTTAGATAGTTTTAAGGATTTGCAATATGATCTTGTTTGGCTGTCATTTTAGCGATTAATTAAATGTCAAGAATGGAGGAAAACTTAATGGAAGAGTTAAGGTCAACTCCACAATAAATGGTTATTATGCAATTTGTCCATATGGTAAGGACAGATTAGATTTTTTATTTTGATTTATCCAGAGGGATATAAATATTATGTTCACAATAGAGATAGTGAAGAACAGTTGTTGACAATTTTGGGACGTTTTAGTCGCCACAACAGGAGGGAAGGTAAGCAAATTTGTAAATAAGGAGCCAACACCTGCTCATGGTATCCTTAATTTTTTCTCTAACCATAGTTAAAAAACGAAACTTGTTATTTTCAAATATATGATTATATAAAGGAATACAAGATTAATCGATTTAGGCCATTGTGATTATGAGCCAGATCGACTTAAACAAATATTACTTTGTTACTTTACTCGAAAGAAAGTTGACCCATTATCTAGATCGGGTTGCTATAAAATAATGTGTTTATGTGGTCGCTTTTATATTGGAGAAACTCGTCGTCCCATTCAAAAAAAGTTAGTTGAACGCAAACTTAGTTGTAGAGGCAGTTGAGTTAAAAAATCGGAGCTAGTAAAGCATACGGCGGAAAAATTCTTGTCTTTTTGCTGATTAAGCTAAGTTATCAGCTAAGTGGAAAGGTACAGATATCATTGAAATTAACCGTTTAGGCAACACACTGAATGTCAGGAATACCGGTAGGAGATCAAGTAAGAACTATTTGTGCTCAATCGATAGACTCTCAGATAGAGTAAGTATTGAGCCGCCTGAAAAAATAGGTGACTTAACTAGTCTTTTCCTAAATATTACTTGCATTCTCCGTATTTCTTTTGGGTGATAAAGGACTGCTAATCTAATTTTTCTCATATTGATGCTTCCAATGAATTTCAAACCATCCATGTTTAACTCGAGCTGTGGTTGCGAATGAAACTTAGGCTAGTTCAAAGCTGCAGTCCGCCCTGAATGTGTACGACTTCTGAGAAGCAAGGCCATGTTAAATCTAATGTATAAATGATTCAACTATCAGATATTAATCATCTTATGTGAACTAGGATGAATGGAACTCTTATAGAATATTTGCTGGTAGTTCAGAGAGCTATTTACTACGAATATAATCGTTCGTTGATATTTTGGCTAGCCTTTGCCAGATTATTTTATAAATTGATCATTCTTAATTTCTCAGAAAACTAGGAATATAGCCCTAAGTTTTACTAGCATTTACAAGACTGAATCGAGATTGGGAATGCTTGCTTGAAATAAAAATAAATCAAAATTACTTAACCCAAGTTTGCTTAGTTTATTTGAAGCTCCAAAGTATCCGTACAATTTAGCTTCCTGTCACATTCAATACATGATATACTGCCGAGTATTTCTATATAATATCTATTTTAAGTACTATGGTAGCAATTTTATCTGCTACTTTTATGCGTCAATAGAAACACTCTACTTGTTATATACGGCCGTACTTTTCTATTCTATTTTTCATTAACATCATATTGAATTTATCTAATATTTGCAGTTTGTTCTATTCGCAATCTAAAGCCTCATTTCTGAGGCTAGACATTGTTTAAGTT